AATGACATTTACTATAACCTCCCAAAAATGTCTTCAGTCAGCATTTAAAGAAATGTTTTGGGAAATAATCTTATACTTATATATAAAATTCATGCCTCTGCACTAAATATGATGCTACAGTCTGGTTGGCTGGTTGATTGGCCAGCTAGTTAGCTTAGCTTAGCATGAAGATGTTTTTTTCTCTGGATAAAGGTAGTTTTATAAATTTTTGACAATCTTTTTTTTGTATGGTCAAGAATGAACTTTTACAACCTCAGTGGAATTTAAAGGAATAGTTTGGAGATAGGCTACACTCATTCACTTTCTTGTAGAGTTTGCTGGGAAGATTTATTTCATGTTTCATGTTTGTATGGTATGATGCTACAGCTGGTAGTCAGCGAGCTTAGCGTAGCATACATACACACTGGAAACAAGGGTGAACAACTAGCCTAGCTACGTCCAGAACTCTGAACTCTCTCTGCCACTGCTCCCATCTCTACCGTCACTCCTGTGCACGAGCAGTAACACCACCAGTTGCTGATTGGCTGGAAAAATGTTGTGGGTAAGGTCCACACCACTTCCTCTGTTTTCCATTTACAGAGCCAGGGCTGTGTAGGAAACACAGATTTTTTTTCAGAGCACATACATAAGGAGAGCTAGCAAACCATGAGGTAATATTCGCTGAATTCAACAAAAAGGTTATTGGATTATAATCACTCACTATCCCTTTAAAGCATTAAAAAATGCAACATTTATGGCAGGAAGGCCTTGGTGAGATTTGATCCACAGCCAGCAGAAACTTTAGGTTTAAGAGATATTACTGCTTCTTCTCTTCTCCATCACTTTGGCTCATTTTTTGCGCTCCTCAATCTGCTCCAACTCACTGGACACATCTACCATCGTGCCGTGGATCATGGTTTGACCTTTGACTTTTACAGTGTTTCCAGTCCTTACGTCGGGGTCTTCTGAAAAACAGAACTAAACCAAGGTTAGTCATTTAAATATAAAAACACTGAACAACATGATCTGAAGAACTGTACCATTAACCAACTCAACTTATATATTCTATAAAATACATATATAAAATACTTAATATACATAATACATACATAATATGTCTGCATTCGTATTTGCCATATTGAGGTTATGAAGCTCTACCGAAATGTTATATTTTGACAACTTTGTCCTTCAATACCCTCGAATGTAACCTAACCGCAGTTAACTGTACACATTGTCTGTGTGTATAAGCTTTATGCTAAAAACATATAAAAGGCATATCAGCCATACACATAAAGAAATAGCCCATAAAGTCCCACTCTCAGGTAGATAGCTGTAAGCAGGTTAACAGAAAAGGGGGATTACTGCAATACCTCTTTGGAATTTTCTAGCTGCTCTTGACTCTCAGGGAAGGTTTCTTCCTTTGGTCAGGTGACGACAAGCAGATTATCATTTTTAATGAAGTCAGAGCATCTGCTGCTGTTGTAGGTCAGCAGCCAGCAGAGAGGGGCTGCCCCAGCCGCCCGCCAAACACCAGTCTGTAAGCTCTGACTCGGACCTGTCCTGCCAGTGGGTCATTCCAGAGCGCAGTCACGGGTCAGTTTAATCAAGTTTCACCGGAACACACAGGAATCGGTTACAGTTACGAGGTAGTAAATAAATTAAAGATGCCCACAAAAAAAAAAAACGAGACAGAGTACAGACAAGGAAACCAAAGATGTAGATGACGAGGACTCGGAGGATCAGGAACCAAAGTCCAAGAAGAAAAGTAAGCAAGCAGGTGAGTCAGTGGATGCTGGACAGAAGAAGAAGAAGTTTCAAGACAGTGATGAAGATGGAAACAATTCTGACACATCAAGGGATGATGTGAGGAGCACCAATAAAAGAGGGAAAATGACTCGGAGAATAATGATAATGAGAATAACAACAATGACTCCAAGAGTTCAAGGAGAGGGGAAAAACTCCCTGATGTGATTTTGACCACTAAGAAGGGATCAAAGAAGTCCTCGGTCAAAGACAAGATGGGGTCAAAGGATAAAAAATCCAAAGATGAAGACAAAAAGTCCAAGAAGGACTCGGAGAAAGAAGCAGCTGGGGATGAAGATGAAGGGAAAAAGAAAAAGAAAGAAAAGAAGAAGAAAGGTTCTGTGAAGGAAGATAGTGATGACGACAACAAGAAGGCAAAAGGCAAGAAGAAGAAGAAGGTTGAAAATTACGTTGAAATCTATGAGAATGAGCTTCGTAACTATGAGCCCGAAAAGGTGGAGAACTACGAGGATGAGTATCACAAAAAGAAAGGTAATTGCAAACTTTCTATCTCAACCTCAAAAATGTACAGAAGGGAAGCTTCGGAAGTGACAGAATTAAAATACTCTTTATAGAGAGAGCATGTTGCTATGTCATTAATTTAAAGTCAATTCGAGGCTAGTTCTGTTTGAGGAAAGACATCTGACACCCAGGTGAATCCTTGATTGCAATTACGGGATCCTGAGTGGCTCCAGCATGCTTTGGTTTGATGTGCATGGTAACATTACACTGAGTGAAGTAGTATCCATGTATCGCCGGTATGTTATCTTCAACCTACAGCTATATGACACCTGTCACTCACTAATTTTCACAGAGGGTGGTTTTACATCCTAATAGGAACTTCATAGTCCTCTGAGTTTCTTTTGTCTTTTGTTCTCTTTTTTCTTTTTCTCACTGACAAACTAAACCTTGATTCTTAATTTCCTTAATTTTTGTGAAATCAAGTTACAATTACTCATGTTTTTAATGGAAAATCGCAAAAAATATAAAATACTTTTGAAAAATTCCAAGTCGACAGAAACCTGCACACACATCTGTACATTATCATAAATATATTTTATTTAAGGGTATGAATAGTTTGAGGTTATAGTCAGAAGACCATAGTCTTAGCATAGCATTTGCTATTAAAGCAACAAACGTGTATTTGAGTAGCCTTTAATGTTGAAACAATGGCAGAATAAAATAGTCTAATTCAGTAAAATTTAAGGTATTTGTCATTTAAAGGACAATTTCTTAATTTTGTTTGGTTATTGGAGTTTGGTTATTTTAATTTAATGAGCCTTTAGACATTAAGTGGTGCTACCAGCAGAGTTTCAGGAGCGGGACCACACATCAATGATGTCACTCCTGGCATTTACATAAATACCCACACAACACATGTCCTCTTTCATTCCGCACCCCTCACGCCCGCGTAGCTCCCTACAATGCTTTTGAATGTCTATTCAGCAACTGCAAGCATCATACATCTTCAATTTGTTTATCAATAAATCATTTTATCATATCTGTTGATTGTGGTCCTTGCTAGTGAACTGTCAATTAATAACCTGCACAAAATACGTTAACAAAATTGCTGCCTGCAACCAATGATCGAATTCCTAAACAACCCATGACACTCTTAATTTTATAAATCTTGTAACTGTTAGCATGTACAGACTGCACTTGAATGACATCTCTGACTCCTCTTAAAACATTCTTATATAAGGATAGAAGTACTAAAGCAAACAAACACACGGAGACACACAGATGATAGCTGTATATTACCCCACATGTTTACTATTGAACTGTACCTCACTATCCTGCCCCTACACTTTCTCCTGCTGTTATATACTGTGTATCTCCTTTCTGAAACACACATCCGTTTGTATTATTATGTCTTTAAACCCCCCAGTGTATGAGGTGGTCACCATCACTGGTGATGAGAGAGGAGCAGGCACTGACGCCAACGTGTTTATCACTCTATTCGGAGAGTATGGCATCTCTCCCAAAGTTCACCTGGCTAGCAAGTAAGTCCTCTAGTGTAAATTCAGATGTAAGGTCTTCTATACTTGTTTGGATGAAGGTAAAATAATTTGGTCAAAAAAAGGACAGAACAGATTTCAATCATTTATCACACTCCTCAAGCCAGCGGCCTCAGTCATAACCTCTGCCACTTAGACCCATATGTGATTTATTAGATTCTTGTGCTTAAACTAAACCTTTGTGTTTTTTCTCCTCTCAAACAGCACAGAAAAGAGGTATGTGGTGGTGATGGCTGTGAAAGAATGGCTGCTCTGATAACAATCTGTCTGCTGTGATTATGGTGTTAAATTTAGTTTACATGACATGATTTGCTGCATGATTTTGTCAAATGTTTGCAAAGCTTTTCTCTTTCATTATGCATGGGGAGCGAATGTGGAATATTTTGTTACTTCTCCTAGAAAACTTTCACGTTTGATTGTTTTGCATTTATTTTTAGTTTCATAAGTGAAAACATGATGAAATTCGTCTCGGCTTTTTTTGTTATTTCAGGAGTCGCACAGCATTTGAAAAAGCCAAAACTGATGTGTTCAGAATTAGAACTCACAATGTTGGACCTTTGAAAAAGATAAGGTACGTTGACCCAAGAAAATGTCATCCCTGATCCAGACTATGTTTCTTTTGTTCACATTGGTGAGTATTATTAAGATGAGATGAGGTATGAGCAGCTAGCCAACACTGTTGACCTTGGATTTGATTAAGGGAGATTTGTTTCCTCCCCTCAATTCATTTGCAAGAAAAATTAGACTTTTTTATGTAGATGGTATTTATCTGTTGCTTCAGGATTGAGCATGACAACACCGGCCTGAACCCCAGCTGGTTCCTGGACAGAGTGGTGGTGACAGATGTGATCAGGCCTCACCTGAGGTTCTACTTTCCTTGTAATAACTGGCTCAGTAAGGTGGAGGGAGACCACCTCTATATCAGAGACCTGCTGGGTAGTATGGACCCCATGGACATGCCCAAATGTACATAAATATGAGCATATGAGAGATACTAATTTCAAGTTTTTGTAAAACATTTGTTTTTAAATTGCTCTTTAAAACTTTGGGTCTTAATTTTACAGATAATAAGTATATAGTGAGTGTTTTCACTGGGGATGTAAAAGGCAGTGGAACAGATGCGGATGTCTTCATCAATATCTTTGGAGAGTTTGGAGACACAGGTAAATTACATTTGCTCACATAATTAACTTTCTCCCAAAGTGAATACCTGTTTTATTGCAGTTAATAAAACCCACTTGGGTTTGAATCAGGATTCATCTGATAGAATTTACAAATAGTTTTGTTATGTAAGGTGAAAGGCGACTTGACAATGACAAAAATAACTTTGAAAATGGCACCGAGGACAAGTTCACCATTGAGGCACCAAACTTGGGCAAAGTGAGGAAGATCACCATTGGCCATAATAACAAAGGCTCTTCAGCAGGATGGTTTGTGGACAAGGTAAGAAAGAAACTGTTATTTATAGTTGTTATTTTCAAGATGTGTTTCTTTGGGAAGCTAGAAATTAAAGAAATTAATTTGAAATAGATAGATAACTAAAAAATAACGTGTAACTTTCTTTGTTACAGCATGTGTGACTCACAGTATCTTATCCTGAAACAAAGATTAGAGTCTTACTGTACCTCATTCTGCTCAGTTCGGCCTCTGCAGAGGTACTTAAGACATGTGATCCTCCTAGGTCCTCTCAGTCTTTTCATCTGAGACTGATGTCCCTGCTCCTCCAACACATACAGTGTGCGCATCTGAGAGATCACTTCATTCAAAACAAACAGACACACACACACACACACACACACACACACACACACACACAGGACCCACATGTCGTCATTCTACCCTCTGTGTAAGGGGAAACTGTGTCCCATTAAGGGATTGCCTTACAGCAAACAGATAGACGAGTCGGTAGATTTGTTGATGACTGCAGCACAGACTGACATCAAAGATTAGCAGTGACAACAATAATGAATCAAATCCTATTTGCAGTTCTCATGTGGTTTCTAATTGAAGATTATTATATTAAAATATATTTTTAATTATTTGAGCTTGATTTTGCTCTTGTCATTTCTGTTAAAATGTGTTTAAATGTAGATAAACATGCAAGCAGGCTTTACCCTTCAAATATACTGCATATACAGTATACCCTCAAACTCCCAGGCCTATGGTAGAGGACCCGAAGTTGAGGATGACACATACCACCCCACGAGGGGTGAGAGGGGGATTTTTTTTACAATACATACATTTTTGAAAATTGTTATTTTCCAGGCTCTAAGGAAGAAAATATAATTTGTAATATTAAAGGTTTTATTAACTATATTTTCAACAAAGGTGTCTTCTGTTTCTCTTTATCCTTCAACAGTAACTTTCTCTGTAAGATGAAAAATTATACTGGGTCAATAATGTGACCCGCATTTAGTACAATAGTGTAAAACTCTAGTTATAATTGTAGATGTAATGGAACATGAAACGGTAATGAAAGAGACCATTAACAGTAACAGCAATACGAGTGTTTGATCTTCGCAATCATCAACTCAAAGAACACTGTCATGCTTTAATAAAACTTTTCCTAACATCATGTATAACCGATCTCTGTCACATGTTGGCGAATACATTCTTATTTTTCCAGGCAATTGTGGATGATCTGGGAAACAAAGTAGTGTATGAATTTCCAATCAATCGTTGGTTTGCCATCAATGAGGATGATGGGAAGATCCAGAGAGACGTTTTAGTTGGGGGGAGCCAGCCCACAGGTGAGGATGAAATTAGTTTATGAGCTTGGAAAAACTGCCTTACATACACTTCATCCATTTCTTAAAAGGAAACCTCATGTCAGTGAACACAATCACGGCAGAGATGAAAATGAGCTCAGTACTCAGTACTATTTCCCCCAAATTATTTGCCTCATTTAGGAATAATTATCTGCTTTCCTGGTCTGAAAAATACAGCATAAAAGTATTAGAAGTAGTAGAAATAATATTTCTATTGCCAAGAAACAGATAATTCATTGTTTTATACCTTCTTATCCAGTCCAAAAAAAAGAAAAATGTCCAGCTTGCTAGATGCCCATTGTTTGATCATTAATTCTTGGGTCAGACTATCAATGTTAAGATCTGGTTCCTGCTGAGCTCCTTAGGGAGTGGAGGTGCGATGAACCACAGTGACCCACTGGCAGAGTCTCTGATAGCCTGACATGTAACTGTACCCACCAGGTATTGTGTACAACGTCCAGATTGTGACAGGAAACATCCGTGGTGCCGGGACCAACTCCAAAATCCAAATTGTGATGCACGGCTCGAAAGGCATGAAGAACAGTGGCAAGGTAATAAGAATCTACCGTATATAGATGAAACAGAGCAGACAACTTGCAGTGAATTGACAACACAATGGCTGCAGCAGTTGTAGTTAGTTAGTTTTCATTTTAATGAAACACAGCAAATAAAGACTGCAAAAGTTTTTACTTAAGTGAGACGTTTGTTCTTTGGTGCCAGTTTTGGAGCGAAATGGTAATCACTTTGGTGTTTTCGCACTGCTCTGCTCATATGTAACTTATCAAGAACAGTGGTTACAATGGTGCAGTGGATAAGCTTATGCCTTTGGTGTGGGAGACCTGGGTTTGATTCCAACTGTGACATTCACCAATGTGTCCCTGTGCAAGGCACTTAACCCCTAGTAGCTTGAGAACCATGCAGTGACAGAAACGGTGTGTATTTTGTCTGTTGACGAGTCTCTGTATGTGCTGCTCTGTTGTTTGTCCAGCCATAGTGGACATTGATGCACAATTTATTACCTGGAGCTACTCAGTCTAATTGACATTTAGTTTTCATGTAACACAATCGGCAGAATTCATGAACAAAAGAAAATGTTCCTTTCAAACATATTCCCTGTGTTCCCTTGTCTGTGTTTATGAAATCATGGATTCACCACTGAGTCTAAATGGGATTATTTCTCTTCTGGGTACATCTGCCTTGCGGTGGAGTAACCACAATTTCCTTCAACTTTTCTTGGATATATTTGTTTCAGGTGTTTTTGGAGGGAGGAAAGTTTGAGCGGGGCCTGACAGACATCTTTAATGTTGAGATTGCTGCGCTCCTCAGTCCCCTCAGCAGAGTCACCATTGGACACGACAACGGAGGAGTCAGTCCAGGGTGGTACTGTGAAAAGGTACATGCACACATGCGTGCAAACACTACAATCTGGCAATTTATTGCGAGTTAATCCAGCTGAATCAATGTTTTTCGCAGGTGGTGGTGTACTGTCCCTTCACAGGGATAGAGCAGACCTTCCCATGTAGTAAATGGCTAGATGAGAAGGAGGGAGACGGGCTGATAGAGAGAGAGCTCTATGAGATGGTCTCACTCAGGCAGAAGAGACAGAAGAGTAAGTTGAATATCAATGATTATGGCAGCAGTAAAAGCTGTCATTTTCACTTATTATTTCCTGAAACACTAAGCAAAAACATTCAAAAATCCATCATATTTATCAGAAATTTGCTTAATTACTCCACAGGTGGTCTACCTTCATTCTACTTTGCAATTTTTGAGTGTTGTTTTTCCTATTGCTATGAAGTCCAATATCTCTTTGAAAGAAAAGTAAATGGGGAGTGCAGGTGTTAAATACAAAATTTGTTTTCATCTGGTCCACAAATGTATACAGCTGAATGTGTGTTTTAGCTACCCTTTTTTTTCTTCTTTTGGTCCCCACAAAAATGAAAAGTTACTTCATATCTATTCACAATCAAACAGATGCACAGTTGAGCTGTCTGCTGCAATCAGTCTGCAACATGATAGTTTCTGCCCTGAGAAGAGTATGTAGAGAAAAAATGCCATTTCAGTGGCTCCACTGAGATGCTGAAGGAGCAGAACGAGTCAAACTGCTAACCCTCGCGCAGGCCCCAAATGTGTGTGAAAGAATGCACTTGTGAAACTCTCTCTAGGCAGTACAGGGGAAGGGAGGAACTACGTTTACCTTTTAGTCACAGTGACAAACAAATGATAAAGATAATGGGATGGCAGTAATCTGATCTAAGCTATAACAAACCATGACAACGTTCCTGATGATTTCCTTTGGTTCTCCTCAGAGCACCCGTGGTCCTTGTGGATCTGGACGTCAGACCTGCCTGGTGCAGGAAGCGATGCAGATATCTCCTTTCAGGTCTACGGAGAGAAGGGCAAGAGTGATGAGATCAGACTGGACAACAAAACAGACAATTTTGAACAAGGACAGGTGGACAGGTTTATGGTAAGTATTCTAAATTGTAATATTATTATTATCAGATACAAGGCTTCATAGGAAACTGTTTTTATCTTGATGTGATCTTACAGGTTGAGCTGCCAGATTTGGGAAAATTGACCAAATTCCGTATCTGGCATGAGAAGAGAAATCCTTTTGCTGGATGGCATCTCAGCAAGGTGAGAAAATCTATTATCTAATAATTTTGCAATCTTATACTGTATTTATCATATCAGTTAAATTTTCTCAGTTTGTAATAAACTCACATGCATTCTGCTGGTTTTATTGACAGCTTATATTTTTGTAATTCTATATTACTTTTACTTGCTTAAATCAATGAACTCACCCTGCCTATATTTGGGACAGGCCTTTAATTCTACCATGCTGAATCTGAATGAATCATTCTTTTGTGCTCATTGTTTCCATAAAATGAACTAAAGATTAAATTGTGGAGACTCGACCAAACTGATCTAAAGATGTAGATATGTAGTATGTCCATATTGACAAAAGTTTAAACATTTAGATTGGTATGCACAATCTAAGCAGCTTAGAACTAGCTCAAGCAGGTGACCCGGTGGGCTTCAAGAGATTTTATAAAGACCAGGCATTTCATTGAGAAGGAAAGGGACAGGCTAATTGGGACTAGGCTTTCAATTGAAATTATATGGCAATTATGTTTCCTAAATACGCACAGTTGTAGGTGTTCTAGTTAAAATAAAGTCCAGGACAGTTTAGTATCTTAAGTTCATAACAGACATAAAAAGGTAATAAGTTAAGAAGGTATGTATCTTGGGTCTTAATATTTAATGTGGAAAACTGCTTTTACAGGTACCTTAGAAAAGAAGAAAGAAGAAAGTTCAGAGAATTGTTTAGCTTCAGTGTTTAAACACTTGAAAGAAATGACATCCAGAGAGAACAAGTTTTCCATCATTGCATTTTCATTCCCAATTAGGCAACTTTGATGAAGACATTAACAAAGGAGAAGTATACGTTTCCTTGTGAGCGTTGGCTGGACACAAATGAAGATGATAACGAAGTCGTGAGGGAGCTACCTGCCACCGGAGAACTAATCGCTGAGCCGCTGCCCTGTAAGTAATATTCACCGTGAGCAAGCAAAATCTGCTTTGACAAACATAGAGACGAATGTAAAACTTGAATGAATAACGCTTCTCTGTTCTGCAGTAATCAAATACAGAGTGACTGTTTGCACGGGGACTATCGGCGGCAGCGGCACAGATGCATCCGTTTTTGTTAATCTGATTGGAGACCAGGGGGACACCGGAGATCGGCAGCTGGTCAACTGCAAAAACAATGTCAACAAGTTTGAGAAAGGAAACGTGGGTACATTCAGTACATCACTGTTTGACATAGAGCTTAGCGAAAACTTAATTATTTGTCCTCTCTTTCTTCATATGCCTCTTAGTTTTTGCTTCTTTCTTTTTGAAAATGACATGATAAATCTCCATCCAACAATCATTGAACATTTTTTTTCTCTTTCACACACTGAAGCCAATCACTAATCAGTGTGCTTGTAATTAACCCAATCAGCTGCACCTGTAGCATGTTGGTGTTTCTGGTATTGACATATTTGGGGGTTATGTTTCTAACTAGTTATGGATTACACCCCAATAATCAAGCAATAGCACCTGGAGTCTGCCCAATCTCCAATCTAGCCCAATTTTAATCAAAAATGTTTTATATTCATACACTTGTCTCTCCTGATGGGAATACTGCAATGTATTTGTCGTACTGTATCTGTAGAACAAATACTACAAACATACAATAATCAAAATGCTGTGTCCGATTCCCCACAATTTCCTCTTTTTGATGTGACTTTGTCTTCCCAGATGGATGAGTTTATAGTCGAGGCGGTAGCCATCGGGCAGATCCGCAGGGTGAGGATTGGACATGACAGTAAAGGTGGAGGCTGCGGCTGGTTCCTTGATAAAGTGGTTGTAAGAGAGGAAGGACAGGCTGAGGCTCAGGCTATAGAGTTCCCCTGCAACAGGTGCACTAGTCTCAGCATGAATACAGAAATAAATGTAACACTAACTGTTGTTACAGTCACAGGTGTGTGTGTGTGTGTGTGTTTGTGTCATAAGTGAGAGTTTGTTCGTTGAATGTGCTGTACAGGTGGCTGGACCCCAACGAGGATGATGGACAAATTGTTAGAGAGTTGGTGCCATTCGCAGATGGACAGCGTCTTTACAGTAAGTTAGAGGAATCTGGAAATGTATTCTAGCATTTAGATTTAAACTCTGCGTGATGCTGACTCTTATGTTTTTGTATCCGTGTGTGTCAGACATTGCCTACAACATTGCAGTAAAGACAGGTAACATCCCTGGGGGCAGTTCAGACTCCAACGTGTTTGTCAAGCTCTACGGAGACAAAGGCGACACCGGTAAGATGATGCTGGTGGTCTCTTCCAACAACCTGGGTAACTACTTTGAGACGGGTCGCGTTGACATCTTCACGGTGGAAACCTCTGATATTGGACAGGTGACACAGAGGAGGCAAAAACATGTTTTGACTATGACAAGCTTGAGAAATAATTTATTGAAGGGCACACAGTCAAAGATTTCTCCCATGCTAATAATACTGTCAATGTGCTTTGGATGTACCACATGATGGATATCAGGCTATTGCATTGAAGCAGCTATATTTCAGAAGATTACCATAATTACTGGTCTTGATAAGATCTTAACGTGGCATTCTGCATGTCTAAATGTGTAGCCTTCTTCCTTAGATATAGCCTAGTTCCCAGCATGTAAAGTGTGATCTATTTATTTGTAGACAGTGATTAAACAGTTACAGTCATTAGTAGTATACAGATTATTTTGATAAGCATGAGACTGCATTTGTTAAAAAAGGATATTTAAAAATGTAGAACATGCATAAATGCTTTTGTTCTATTTTATAAGCATACTTTTGTCTGATTCCTCAATAAATGTGCGTAAAAGATCTTTCATTTATCAAATAAATAAAATCCATTTAATGTTATTCCAGATCAACCGTCTCCTGATTGGCCACACCAACGAAGGCATGCGTGCAGGCTGGTTCTTGGACAGCGTTCAGATCATGGTTCCAGTCCATGGCAAGCATTACATGTTCCCCAGTCACCGCTGGCTGGATGAGGATGAGGCTGACAGCAAGACGGAGGTGGAGATTTACCCAAGTGAGATCCTGGACATGGAGCAACGTAGGCAACAGTCTCACACTCTCACAGAAGATTCATAGTGACATGACATTATTTCTAACCTGTCCTGTTGTTTGCTGGTCCTTCAGCAAATAACGTCAAGACTGCATTTTAAGCAAAATATAAAACATGAACACTATTCAAAAGCTACTCTACTGCAGTCATATTTTGCCAAGGTATATTGTCAAAATTTGTGATGTTAATCTTTTCTTCATAAACTGTTGAGCACCTTGCAACTACTGACTAAAAATCATTTGTGTGCTCTTTGATCTTTGTCAACCTCTATTTTCCAGTAATTAACTATGAGATAACAGTAGTGACCGGAGATGTGATGTTTGCTGGCACCAACGCCAGAGTGTTCATCCAGATCTACGGGGACAAAGGGAAGACAGAAATTATCACACTCAAAAGCAGATCCAACAACTTTGAGCGGAACACCACAGAAATATTTAAGGTATCAAAGCTTGGATTTAATTTAATGCTTTCACTGGCTGCAAAATACATGTTAGTAGTTGAATTTGTATGTCAAAGAAAATAAGTGAATGTCTAGATGTTACATTTAAAGTTGAAACCAACGTGACTGTTCCCCAGATAGAGGCTAAAGATGTGGGCAAGATCTTCAAGGTCCGCATCGGTCACGATGGCTCAGGGATCGGATCTGGCTGGTTCCTGGAGACAGTGGATGTCAAACATCTAATCATGGCCTTGATGCCCAAAGAGAAGAAAAAGGACGACAAGAAAAAGAAGAAGAAAAAGAAGAAAGATGAAGAAGATGAGGACGAGGAGGAAGGAAACGAGATGCAGGAAGTGGTGCTGACTTATCACTTCCCCTGCTCCCGCTGGCTGGCTGGGGGTGAGGAGGATGGCGAGCTGGTGGTGGAGCTGCTGCCTGAGGATTCAGAGGAGCTGGAAGGTACAAAATGAATGTAAATGAGTGTAATGTTGAACTTCAGAGAGAGAAGTGATGAACGTGAGAGTGCCATGAAGAGGGCCTCAGATATTTCCACTCAAGTTGGGTGGCAACATAAAAAAAAGCTGTGTACTGCAAAGGGAAATTTACCAAAACCATGCAGTAATAACAAGCTAATTGTTGACCCCAAAATAGATGAAATACCACCACAACTCAGTGGAACTGCTGTTTATGCACAATTAATTCAGAAGGGATAAATAACTTAAGCTTAATTCACTGTTGCATGAACACTTTCCTTACATTGTACAACAAAGCACAACAACATCAATTATGTAAAAACAACATTTTTGGTACTATTTATTGTCACTGAATATATTTACACTCATTACTTACTTTTGTTTATAGTGTTTTGCATTGTCAGTGGCGGATTCTGCCATCTTGCTCTGAATTTAAATGGCATCCAGAAATGCATAAGGTATTCACAGGAAAAGATGCATGCAGGTGCTGCATAAAATGTGGAAGGGAAGAGTTGGCTCATGTGTCCACTTTAATTTGTGTGCATGAACATTATATTATCTTGTCTTGTTTTCTTTGGTTTCTTTCTCTATCATAACAATATAATGCAATAAGTCCTCCATTCCCACGGGTTATTTCAGAGGAGCTGCTCAAAGCCCTTTTCTTGCTACCAGTGATCGATAAACATGTAATTTTAAACAAAACTCTGGGACTAGTATTATTAAAATGTTCTCAGTGTTACCATGATTAACCACTGGTGTTACAATTCAACCACAATTGAAAAGTTAAGGATTGTAACTTTAAAAGAAGAGAAAAGAAAATACTGTTTAGAGTACAATTAAAACTGTACATACATACAATACTTTCAATTTCAGTTTTTGACTATGTGTACCAGGTATCAATTTGTGTTCTTGTGCATGCCACTATCCTCATTATTCTTAAAAGAACTTTTTTTTTTGCCACAAGACTTTCTAGTGACACATCTGCCTTTAATTTTAAGTATTTAGACAGTCAACAAACTTCAATTAACAACAGCTGTATCCACTATGATTAAGGGACATTAAAACAAAATGAAAGAAGAATAAACAAAACAAGATTAAAATTAGTGGATTTGAGTTGTTTTGAATGGAGTGTTTTAAGGCAATACTGGGGCAGTACTGAATAGTTCAAAGCTTCGAAGCTTCATTCATAATGTCGATATTTGAATTCTAAATGAACATTCAAATGCTGTGCAGCTCTTTTTTTCAAGTTTTCATTCAGTTTACACACAGCAGATAAAGATCAGGCTACACATTTAACATAATTAATAATTAATATTTGTAAAATTAGACTTCAGTGGTGATGGCTGTGTACGATTATTTCCAACTCGTGTGACCCAAACATTTCCACTAACCATTAATACTGTACTTGCATACAGCAAATACACTTTCAACACATAGCAGGGATACGTGCTTTCCAGTGAGCAGAAAATCTCCAGTATTCTAATAATACAGCTAGAAGAGAAGTGCTTCCTTTACCTATTATCAAGTCTTGTGTTTTCTTAATGAGCACAGGTATATGTATAAGTGTTGTGTGTGTATATATACAGACATACATAGATATCATTGGTTATTTGCTCCACTTGTATTATTTTCTATATTTATTGGCACATATTTATATCCTGTACTCAGTATTAATGTTGTAGGCATGCATGGTTTGATTTGACACAGGTTCCTGGTTGACATATGTGACAGGTTAAAGAGTTGTTAGTAACTCATCCCTTGTATTGTCTTGACAGTCAACACCTATGAAGTGTGCGTCTTCACTGGGAAGATGCAGGGTGCTGGGACAGACGGCAACGCCTTCATTAATATTTATGGAGAAAACGGAGACACTGGAGAGCGCTATCTGAGGAACTCTGACAACCTCAACAAATTTGAGCGGGGGCAGGTATGATGGGTTAAACAAAGTGATGATAATTACTTTTTAAATCAACTAGGTAAAAAGAAGCAATCTGATTCATTCTAATTTTTTAAAAGTCATTATTGTAACCAGTGAAGTGGAGAATAAACAACAAAAGGAAAAATGTTCCTTCATGGTTCATAAAAAAGCAAAATACATTATTCTTGTCAGACTGGCTCAACTTATTATTATTCTTTAATTAACAAATACTAAAAGCATAAAAAACAACTTGCAATGAAGTCATTTCCCGACTGACAACAGCCTCGATTTCAATTACATAAAAATTCTTCATTAAAGCAATTTTACCAAGTTTTTTGGAAGGATATCTTGCTGAAAATTAACCAGTAGTTAGTCAAAGTCTCAAGCACTTCCACGCAACATGAGCTGTGCATCGAGGTGTGGGTGGGAGTGTATACTGGTAGGATTACAAGCTCTCCTGCAGGCAAGCCAGCTGTGGCTAAGAGGAGCAATGAGTTGTCCCCTGTGTCATTAAACCTGCCCTACATTTACAAATTTCTTAATCCAAACCTGTGAATTACTAATCTCTACATTACACCTGTCACTGTAGGAACACAAAGCTCATGTCCACAGACAATTAGGTTTTTCAGTGACAGGAATGCTAGCTTAGGAAACAACCACAAATGCTGTATACTTTACCAACGAAAAATTGAATGGTTAATTCACTGAATGTACAATATTGTTCCTGAAAGATCCTATGCATTTGAAAATGCATTTGTACACTTTAAGAGGAGAAAATAACACAAGAAGTTGAGATTGAACTTTGAAAAGCTGTTGACAAAAACAACCTCACCATAAGGTCCACTAAGCTCTGGAGCTTTTTAATAATAACACACACATTATTGTTTTTCCCCGCAACCCGATCCCGGATAAGTGGATGAAGATGGATGGACATTATTGTTTTTTTATTGTACATTAATGTGCACTGTCCCTTTTTAGATAAATAAACTGAAAATATCCCACCCTTCTCTCTCACGCTACATTTCCTGTGTATCTCACTTTAAACTGTCAACATACAAAAAATTGGTTTAAAAATGTTTGCGTCTGTACGCGGTTGCTGTATTTTGCAGGAGGATGTTTTCATTGTGACAGCTGTTGATCTGGGTCCTCTGAAGAAGCTACGGATCCGTCACGACAACACTCAGCCTCATTCATCTTGGTACCTGGATCGTGTTGAGATAGTGGACACAAAGGATGATACAACGTAGGTGAAACCAACATACAGTTTGCTCAGTTTTCAAGAACAAAGACCTCACTGTATGCTTTAAAGAGCAATAATGTCATGTAATTATACAACTGCCAATGATGTAAGAACGTGTCATTTTTAAGACAGAGTGCTGATTGGAGCTATTTCTTGGGTCTAAAGGTACTATTTCCCTTGTAACCGCTGGCTGGCAGTGGATGAGGATGATGGACAGCTAGCAAGAGAGTTGGTGCCTGTGGACGAAGCCTTCATGAGGAAGGATGAGGACGAGGATGATGAGGGGACAGGGGCCACTCTGGGGCTGGAGCAAAAATGTAACAGTTTCAAAACTGGCTTATTTCTAAGTAGAGGGACAAGATAAAAGGGAGCCCTGTTCAAGTATTTATCTAAGTGCTAGTGAAACACGCAGGTGTAGACAATAGCAAAGAGGGACTCGTGTTATTTTGAAGATGAAAAGGATTAAAGTACTGACTTGTTATATTTATTTTACAGCCATGTCTACTACATATACTATCAAAGTAAAAACTGGAGAAAAGAAGCATGCTGGAACTGATGCCAACGTCTTTGCCATCCTGTTCGGTGAAAATGACGACACGGGTATGATAACTCACCAGCACCTGGCATTATTGTGGCAGCCTCATGTGGTATGTTATTGATCTAAATGAGGCCAATCTGTGTTTTAAAAATGTTCATGTCACTCACAGGGATTGTCAACCTTAAGGCTTGTAAAAACTATAAGAATAAGTTTGAACAGGGGATGATCAATGAGTTCACTGTGGAGGCGGTGGATTTGGGTGACCTGGAAAAGCTTCGAATTGGGCATGACAACTCAGGTGGGGCTCTACAGACCAAAAATAGGTAGTCTCTGTCATAAGCAGTACACTATATCAATAACTAATAATACTGAATAACATATAATTGTTCTTTCCACTGTCAGGGGGTTCAGCCGGTTGGTTCTTGGACTGGGTTGAGGTTGACGCCCCTTCACAGGGTCAGAGACTACGCTTCCCATGTGGCCGCTGGCTGGATAAAGGAGAGGATGATGGGGCAATTGTGAGGGATCTCTATCCCGCTGAGTTACAGACCGAACTCTACATGCCATGTGAGTCAGCAGCCGTGGAAGAAGAACTCAAATCCATCAATGAAAGCAGCAATGGGAAATCTTCCTGTGAAAGTGCTTTACACAAAGTGTGGAAGCATTAGCAGTAAAATGTATTTTAAGTGCTCTCTCTGGAGAACAGTGCTTGTCAGAGCATTAATTCTTTTAATGCATCCTGTAGCAAGTAATCGGTACATGTAAAACATATTGTTCCATTGTATATTTTTATCTTCCATCTTACTTCACCCAAACAAAGCTGTCACCCTCTCCTCTGACTTTTCAGTTGTGCCTTATGAGATAAAGATATTCACCAGTGATGTGTTTGGTGCGGGAACAGACGCTGACGTGTTCATAGTCTTGTACGGAGGTAAGGGAGTGTGCACACAGCAGAAACACCTGTGTGTCAACAAGAGAGAGAGGCGTCTGTACTTTGAGAGGGGAGCAGAGGACATGTTCATTGTGGAGGTGAGTGTGTAGATTTGGACTGCACATCTTTTAAGACTGCGGCTGCAGATCTGCAAACACAGTGTTGTCTTTTCCCAGCTGGAGGATGTTGGTGACATTATAGAGAAAATCAGGATAGGACATGACAACAGGGGCACCAACCCAGGATGGCACCTCGACAGAGTGGAGATTAGACGACAGCTCAGGAAAGGAAAGGTAGTAAAAATCCACTTGAGATTACACCTACGTAGATAAGTACATCATTAAGTTTCATTGTCTGTGCCTTCATTAAATTATTAACGGATTAATAATGTAACACATTTTGGCTCACACATCTGTCAGTGTCAGATATACTTTCCTTCAGTCACACAGACAGAGCCTGGCCCAGTTCTAGGATTTATTTGTGTTTAATGGCAGGGTTCAGAGACGACCATTTTCCCATGCGAGTCCTGGCTAGCCAAATCTGAAGGTGATGGGGAGACGGTGAGGGAGCTGGTCCCCTCGGAAATCATTACACAGAAACTCCTTAGGGATGGGAAGCTGAAGACAACTGAAACAGAGGTGGAAGATGCTTTGGAAAGTAGGTTTAGCCTGATTTCAGTGGTGTACTTAAGTGCAATTTTGAGGTTACTTACACTTACACAGTAGTATTCCATTTCATGTAACTTTATACATATATTCCACTATAATTCTGAGAAAATATTGTACTATACTACACTCCTTCTACATTTATTTAACAGCTTTAGTCACTAGTTACTTTTTAGATTAAGATATTACATGCAAAAAGAAAAATAACATATGGCGCACTCTTATAGACTAAACTAACAGTAATTAAAATAGTTTGCTACACCTGGGAGGAGGAATCTAGAGGACCTGGCAGAAACCCACATAAACGCAGGGTCTGAATCGAGGACCTTTTAGCTGTGAAGCCACAATACTGATCTCTGAACCACCATGCTGCCTGCCAGGGAGGAGAAGAAAGGACAAGGTTTGAGCGGAGGGATGTGAGAACTGAAACAAACAGGAGAGAAAGGAGTTAGACATGCACATTTATGTGTGTGTGTGCACAGGTGGTATAATTAGAGAGGCTCAGGTGATTGGATTAGTGAGAGAGAGAGCTGTGATCTTGCTCCTGAACCTTAGTTACTGTATATTAACTTCATTTAGTGAGCTTCAGCTCCTTGTTTAGTTCCACCACTGCCTGATACTGCATGTAATGTCATCACTACTTAAGGTAAAATATGGTGAATGGAGTCCCATGTTAGATATGTTTATAGTTTTGTTTGTGCACATTGTATTGACATTGTATTTCAAATCTTTAAGGGCAAATTATAAAATATGGCAAATTAAATTATTTCAATTTACTATCAAATATGGAAATATTTTATAGTGAGAGTGCATACATAGAACAGGTCTCAAACAATGTTAATCAAGCCTTGTGTTTGGTTGTTTAATAGGCAGTAGAGTTTATAGACCAATTTTCCGAGACACCATACTCAACTTAATAAACTGCATGAACTAGGCCTGCACCAAATGCCATTTTTTTTCACAGTCAAAGCTTTTAAGGAGGTTTTTGAACAAAACTTTGAATGTCTGTCGTCATATTTTATGACGTCATCGGCCCAAAAAATTTTAAATACTTAATTTGAATGAAGTGATTCGTCCGATTTAACGAGTTAGTCTTTGTTTGTTAAGAAAATAAAGACATAAATTTATTTTTTTGATTGTTTCACAGCGGTTATGCTCTGAAGAAACAATTAATCACAGCCCACCTCCACATAACCCTGCAGGAAGGAGCCACATTGCTAGATATTGAGTGAATGTAGCGAAAGCCCCGCCCACAGTCAAACAGAGACTCATCTGACAGAGAGCAGAGAAGAAAGACGGAGACAGCGACCTGGTCACTACGTTTACGAGTCCCATTCTTAAACCCCGGGTGCTGCAGAATAAATAGACTACACAGCGTTTGAATGTTAATTTAGATTTTGAATGTCAATTTTATGAACGAAGCTTCGAACTATCCAGTACTGCCTTAGCATGAACACACACATACTATTGGATTGGAAGCCTTAACTCTTTAATTCCAGTTCAGAAATTTCTAAATCATCTTAATTTCCTAGTATTGTTGAACATAATTACAAACTTGTGAGTGGACTATATGTATCTCCCCAATTCATAATTGGGTTTTTCTTCCATTACAGCTCACACATACAAGGTGTCTGTGCGGACAGGTGATATGTTCGGAGCAGGAACTGATGCCAACGTTTTTCTCACCATCTATGGAGACCTGGGAGACACAGGAGAACGCAAACTCGCCAAATCTGAGAACAACAAGAACAAGTTCGAGAGAGGAGAGGTACGTGAGGAAAGGCATGGTACGTTGTGTCTCATTACTGCTGGTGTCTAAAGGAAACAAAATATGTTATTTTCTCTTTGCCTCTCAGGTGGACAAGTTCACTATTGAGGCTGTGGACTTGGGCCAAGTGTTTAAGATCCGTATTCGGCATGACAACTCCATGATCGGGGCTGATTGGTACCTTGACCAGGTGGAGGTGCTGGATGAGGATACAGAAGAAGTGTACATGTTCTTGTGTGAGCGCTGGTTGTCGACGAAGAAAGAGGACAAACGCATAGAGAGGACCTTCTTTGTCAAGGTTTGTTAAACTTGGGTTTTGGTTTGAGACCAACTTCTGGTTAAGAGAAAGAAGCAAGTAGATTATTTGTCTGTTTTGTGTCTGGTTCAGGGTTATGAAGGTGAAAGACACCCTGATCCATTTGCCAAGAACATGGCTCAGGCCAAACTGGGGCTGGACAGAAATGCCAACAAGAAGAAAAAGAAGAAAAAGGTGGCAGTGATGGAAGAGGGTCCAAGTAAGACCACAAAAGTAATTGTGTTTTTCAAGATGGGTTTGAGTATGAGATGAGAACAATGTGCTTTCTGGTGGCAAAGACAAACATAAAGGAACCTTTTGAAACATTACACAGATCATTAACTTGAGAAAAGGGAGCCAATGAGCCAGTTAGGGGGAAGGACCTGATGCAAAACTGGTGTCTGTTAAATGAGAGTTGTCAAAAATCTGGTGGGGGGAAAAATAACGCTCTGTACACTAAAGATGAAGCTTTAGTGCGCAGCAGGCTAGTTTAGCTTTGCATAAAGACTGAAACAAGGCGAAACAGCTAGAGAGAAAAAAACACATTATATCTTGTTTATTTAATTCAAAGGAAAACAATGTTAGTGTAAAAACAATAATTATAACTATTGTAAATCTAGGAGTATTTCTTGGCCCCAAGTAGTAACTTTCTGGATTCTCTTCTTTTTGTTTTGTAGTCTCACAGTGACACTAAACAAATGTATTGTGATGTAATGTGTTAATTAGAGATTTTACAGGTAATGGAAGGGGGATTTTCTTACCTTAAGAGCAAGGCTAGCTGTTTTCCCCTCATTTCCAGTCTTCATGATATGCTAAGCTAACCGGCTGCTGGCAGGGCTGGACTGGTACAAAAAATCATCCCCGGCATTTTTGGCTGAGGCGGCCCACCAAAATCGGTCGGACACCCCTCACAAATACACCATCGATCCATTTAGGGGTTCAGATTAGGGGTGTGATGAAACACTGAGATGTAACATTTGCACACGATTGTTGTCCATGACTACAAGAGAAGTATGTAAATTTCATAGGCCTACTATTTCGAAAAATATTTATAAATTAAATATTTGATAGGGGGGTCTTAAACACTTAATTTCCTGCATTCTGGAGACATTTTCTACACCTATTTATTGTGAAAAAGTCTTTATTTTTATAAAGGGAAGAACAAAAAAAAAACTGGGCATTTGCCCGGTATGCCAGATTACCAGTCCAGCCCTGGCTGCTGGCTATAGCTTCCTTTAACCTCCTATTCCTTTAAACACTTCAATGAAAAATGTAAAGCCCTCTTTAACCAATTCTTCTCCTCCACCCAGTCATCCCCTATCATTTCACCTTGTCCACGGGGGTGGACCGTGATGCCAGCACTACAGCCAGGGTCTATGTCATCATCATCGGCCCCAACGATGTTGAGACAGACCGACTGTGGCTGGACCTGCCAGAGGGAAAGAAATCCTTCACAGCTGGCACCATGGAGCACTTTGTGTGTTATGGAACTGACGTAGGAGAGATCAAGAGGGTGGAAGTGAGAATCTGGGACTGTCTCTGTTGCTAAATCTGTGAAACTGTCTCCTCTCTGCTGCCTCTTCAGATGCACTGATGATGTTAAAAAATTAAATAAAGCCATTCTAGCTCAGCAATAATTAATTCTAGCTGTGCCTTCTGGTACCTAGATCGAACAAAATGAAATGATATATAAATTCCCAGCTCTACCTCCCCCCTCTTTCTCTCTTCCCCCTCGCTTCCTCAGCTTGGCCATAACGGTGTCACACCAGAGAGCTGCTGGTTGGTGGATGAGCTGTCGGTTGCTGTGCCAACCAAAGGTATCAAGTACATCTTTCCATGTAAGTGCTGGCTGGCTAAAGACAGGGGCGATGGTCTGACTGCCAGACTGTTCAATGTGCTGGACTCCAGCACGATCAACATTATCCGCAAAGTGAGTCACAACAAATAAAATATGAAACATTTAGTTAATATAAAAATAGAATTAGTCTCTTTATCTGTTTTATCTACTGTATATTGTAGGTTGTTTATTCGGCCACAGTTGTCACAGGAGACACTCAGTATGCAGGGACTGATACCAACATTTTCCTGACGGTGTATGGAGCCAATGGGAGCACAGAGGAAATGCTGCTGCCCAAAAAGGAGGACAGGTCAGTCCTCCAATGACCCCCTGATTGTATTGATCACTTTTCATTAAAGGAATAGTTCTGTGTTTTGGGAAATACACTTATTTGCTCTCTTGCAGAGACTTACAGGAGTTGTAATCAATATTTCTATAACAATGTACCAAAAGACAGTTTGACAGTGGCCGTTTGTAGTGATGTAAATAAAGAATTAATACCTGAATCTGCAGCTCCTCTCGGTCTTACAACTTTACTGTTGTGGTTTACTCACTGCTCATAGTATTATTTTTTTTAGCTGTTTTCAATGAAAAGGTTGAACCCCATTGTACACCAACTGCTCAGCAACAAACAGCAGCCAGATGTGAGATAGCAGAGACAAAAAACAGAGCTAAGAGTGACTATTGGACTGACAATAATCAGATGTGCAGAAACATGACTCCATGAATGATAATGTTCCTCACATAACTGTTGGATGTGAAATAAGCAACCAAATAAACTTAAAAGGTGAGGATATGTTAGTGTTCAAATGGTTTCCACTGTTCCCAAGTGGCAAAAAATTAAATTAGAGTTTTGTGCAGATAAAAAAGAGAGTCAGAGCTTTAGGGCTGCTGATAGGCGGATTTTGTTGGACAGAGCCAGGCTAGCGGTTTCCAGTTATTGTGTTAAGCTAAGCTAACCTGCTGCTGGCTGCAGCTAAAGAGTTAGTTTACAGACATGAGAGTGCTATCAATAGCCTTCTCTAACTCTGGGCCAAAAAGTATATAAGAATATTTCCAAAACTATTTCTTTAAGATAACCATCTCAAATCCAGATGTTTTAAAATGCACAATGATATTTATATATTCTTTCCATTTAGGTTTGAAAGGGGCCAAGAAGACACATTCAGTCTGGAGATAGATGACATTGCTCCTCTGAAGAAGATCAGAGTTCGGATAGATGGCTCTGGAAGTCGACCTGACTGGTTTCTTGACAGGGTAACATAAACACTACTAAAATAAATAAAAATAATAAAAATCATTTGCAGTGGCAGCATAGCTGAAAATCTTATTCACAGAATGTGTTATTGCACTGGCCACAGTTTTAATTAGTCTGTGAAATCAAATGGCAAAGTGCACAGATTTTACACATCAAAGTCTTTTTACAGGTCTTGGGGTGTAATACTGCATATGTGAAAAAAAAGTTAGATAAAGTTTTTTGTGGCTCCAGAGGGAAATCTGAAAAAGTGCCTCAAGTGATGTCACTTCAGCATCAGTTGGGACTAAAGACTGCATGTTTGAAATAACCTAGAGGTGTAGAGTTGGATGAAAGTGAGCCCACCAGACCTCTGGAGCCCGCTCTTCATCTCTGCTTGAGGCTATAGTGGCTCAAAGCTTGCCTCAAGCCACTACAAGAGTAACACACTTGAATGTCTGACTGAACTGTCAACAGTCAAGTTGAGGACAATTTTGGGTAATGTAGGCGCCAAGTAAAATCCACAATATCTCTGGTTCTCCGTTTTTTAACTGTCCATTGCGAGTCTGACAACGTTAAGTCAGAGTCAATCATGTATGTTAGAATTAAAATTGCAGCTTTTGCAATTTGAAAGTTGAACTCCTTCAAATCATAGTTTCAGCATAAAAAACATGAATTGTTCAGCAAAAAGCAGCTGTATTATTTTGTCTGATTCTATACATGTAGAAACAAGATAAATGCATCATGTTGTTAGTACAATCATATCTTGTTTAATACTATGTGAACCACAAATACAAGCTTGTAAGTATTTTAAAAACAAAATGCAATTTAAATCACAATATTGGTCAGAACAATTGCAATTAGATATATTCCTCAAAGGCCACTAACGTTGGTCTGTTTCTGTTATATCTCCTGCAACTTAACAATGATATTCACCAGGACTTTTGCATTTGAAACACCTGAGATGTGGTAAAATGAATGTCTCAATAAATGCTTTAAGATCCTGATGCGGAATCTGACCACAGAGGAGGTGTATCTGTTTACCTACGAGAACTGGCTGTCAAAGACCAAAGGGCCGAAGAGGACGAAGGCATGCGAGCTGGCAGCTGTGGTGGATGATGAGGAAATGGTGGAGAAAACAACCTACATTATTCAAGTCCAAACCAGCGATGTCGGGGGTGGGTCACATGAGTTTTGTACAGTATATTAAAGTGATGGCCTCAGCTATCAAAAAGATATACTCACATACCTACGTGTAGTTTTTGGTAAACATGTCAGCTGTTATTTACACATTAACGAGTCTTGACTTGATACAGTATTATGATATGCAAGGCCACAGAGTATTAAAGTATTTGACTACTGATTACTTACCATGATATATCAAAGTCATCCATGCAACGTTATTAGGCAAATATTAAGATCTGCTTTCATAAGTAAATGCCTCTTTCTTGGTCTTTTAGGTGCAGGCACCGATGCCAATGTGTTTTTGATGGTGTTTGGGGAGTACGGGGACACTGGCACGCTGCCACTGAAGGAGAGCTCAAACAGGAACAAGTTTGAGCGAAAAGCAAAAGATGTGTTCAGATTTTCCGATATGCTCAGTGTGGGCGAACTGTCCAAGGTCCGAGTGTGGCACGATAACAAAGGTGAGGAGGAAAGGTGCACTGGGTGTCAGAACTACATAACAGACAGCAACTAGAGGGATGTTTGGTCTCTAAAACTGCAGAATTAACATGATTTGTTACAGTGATGGTGATGATTTGGCCTTTTGTTTTAGGCTTGTTTGTAAATAATTTCAGTAGGTTTAAGTATATCTTTATGTAAAATCTGAGAAAATTCAAATTTTACTTTATTTAAAAATTCTTTTACTTGTTTTTTTAAAGGAAAGTTGTTCATCAATTACAATACCAAAATGTTTGAAGTCATGTACTACCTGAAATTTGGATGAAAAACTAGAATCTAGCCTTTTCTGGTACTGTTTCCTAACATTAAAAGAATACTTCAACATTTTGAGAAATACACTTACACCAAGGTTTAGATGAAAAGATAACTACCACTCTCATGTGTATTTAATATTAAGCAGGAGCCAGCAGCCAGTTATCTTTGCTTTTTTTGGGTTAGTCTAGTCTCTTCGGCCAAGAAATATTCCAGTGCATAACGCCCTGTAGCACCGCTACGTCGTTTTACACACTTCAGATTAAACACACAACTTGTAACATGTTAAATAGTGATCTTTAGAGGTGCGGGTATTCAGATTTTGTTACCTTTGGACAGAGCCAGGCTAGCTTTTTACTGCTGTTTCCAGTGTCCGTGCTAAGCTAAGACAACCAGCCACGGGCTGTAGCTTCATATTTACTATAAAGAGAGTGGCATTGATCTTCTCATCTAATGCTCGGCAAGAAAGCTAATAAGCGTATTTCACAAATATTCCTTCAAGATGTAAACACGAGTTCCTCAACCAATTTGTATGTACCATCACATTTTATAGCTGTGGTGCGCAGCATCATTAGATAAAAAAAAAATTAAATAAAAAAAAAAACATATTTATATATTGAAAGGATAAACACATAATGGGCTTTGTTGCTCTTGCTGGCAACAGGCCCTGCTCCTGGTTGGCACCTGGAGTACATTGACGTGAAAGATGAGGCCATGGACCAGACCTTTAGGTTCCCCTGCGACCGCTGGCTGGCTAAAAATGAAGACGACGGGCAGATAATGAGGGAGCTGGCCTGTGCCAACAACGACTCTATAGACCTCAGTGACAAAACCAGTTAGTAGAAATGGAAGTCTGTGGGCAATGATTTCAGGCTCTCTAATTTGACTAATTTAACAACTTGCGAGCTAATTTCAACCATTTGCCAGATGTGAAATGATTATATTGCAACAATCTCTGACTCTCTGCATTGCCACAGAATATGAAATTGCCACAACAACTGCTAACACAGACGATGCCTCCACCACGGAAAACGCCTGGATCGTGTTGGAAGGAAGGAAAGCCCGTTCCAAGGAGTTTGTTCTGGAGAATAAGAAAAAGAAGTTCTTATGGTAGGTCTTCAAAGAGAGTGTAGGTGCCTTGGCTCGCGGTGAAACCCTATTATGTGGCCTTACATAATCTCCTCTCTTCCACATGTTTTGTTTTTCTACCCTCTTTTATCTTGTAGCTTCACTTTCTGTCCGCAGAGTCTCTACTTTCAGTAGAGCTAATCCCATGAGATGCACAAAAGGAAAAACTCTCTGGCAGACAACTGTATATAACTGTTCACTGTTCAGAATCAAACCCTGCACAAACTCTGCTAGTAGTTGTAACTTTTTTTTGCCCTTTCACAGCGGTGCCACAGACACGTTTGAGTTCTCGTCCAAGCACGTGGGGGAGATTGCCGGCATCTGCCTAGGCCACATAACGAAAGACGGAAAGAAGGTGAAGAATGAAGCTTTCTGGCACGTTATGGAGGTGGTAGTGACAGAAAGGGAGCTGGGAAACAAGTGAGTGGAGTGACATCCTACATTATGTTATATAAAGCGTCACGTTGATGGTGTTGAGGTGACTCCAAACCTTCACTCCTGTTTAGGTATTTCTTCCACTGTGATGCAAAAATCCCCCTGGCAGCCAAAAAGGACCAATTCCTGACATTTGAGTGCTTTAAGTCCATCGAGAGCTTTGCGAGCAGAGTCCGCAACCTGGTCCCTGTCAAGTATGAAATCATCATCATCACCGGGGACGTAAAAGGGGCGGGCACAGACGCCAACGTTTTCATCACAGTCTATGGCATCAACGGTGACTCAGGCAAGCGTCATCTGCGGCAGAAGTTCCGCAACCTTTTTGAGCGAGGGCGAACCGACCGCTTTGTTCTGGAGATGCTGGACCTCGGGGAGTTGCTGAGGGTCAAAGTGGAGCACGACAACAACGGCTCCAACTGTGGGTGGTATTTAGAGTGTGTGGAGGTGACCAACACAGCCAACTCAGTGACAACAATCTTTAACTGTGGAAATTGGCTCGACACTTCTAAGGCCGACGGCCAGATCCAGCGGGTGCTCTACCCCAAATACTGAGGAGGAGCATGCATGACACAAAGAGTGGGTGAACATTCCTTTAGAGACTTTTTGGTCACTTGTTTTTTTTTTTTGTACTGTAAGTTCAAGCTTCATGAGGAAAAACAATGAAATTAACAGACCTGAATGTAATTTTATGTCACCTTTTAAAAGTGTTGTTTTTTAAGTTTGTGCCAACTGTTTAGGTTGTCCCTCTTCTCACTTCAGAAAAAGCCATTTGCGACCAACTTTTCTTGTACAATCTGAAAAATAAACTTGTGCGAACCTGCAGATAATCCAACACAATAAACATTTAGTCTTAATTTGTTCTTTCTTTGGTCTGTGTTTAGCTTTTTTGATTATGTCTAGGTTTAGCATTTCCACACCAGTCCACAGACACCATGTTATTCTTTGCTTACTGTCAATCACTTGACACCTACAGGTGGAAAAGAAAGGCAGGAAATTGTCCCACAAAACCATAAAGCCTCCTTTGAATTAGTATGTCGTTTGGACATGTGATGTGAGGTTTCGAGCATGGATGGACAACAGCTGCAACAACTTAACTAACTGTGGATGGGGGTGAAACAGCTTCTGTTAACACCACAGAAAACAATTTGATGTCTCTTTAACTGACACTGGCATTCCAGAGTTGCACTTTGATCCATCCATCCATCTAGTATAAACACTTAAGTATTTTTAATTCTGCAAAAACAGTATACCATTCAAATATGCCGCTTACACTATATACTATATTAGTAAGTTATTATGTAATGCAATTTGGACACAGCGTACAGCATCATGTCTCATCCAATGTTTCACTTTTATATATTATATTTTAGTTTGCTGTCTGCAATTTATTTCAAGCTACATTTGAACTGTAAATATTAGTATTGTAATTACAAAAAGGAGACATGTAAACCAGACCAAACTTGTAGTAAATGGGCTTTAATGAAACTTGAAATGAGACCAGTATTCCCCTGGTAAATCTCTAAATGCCACAATTAAATTGTTAGGAAGAATATTCTTATTTTATATTGTTACTTTGCAAACAATTGGTTTGGTTTGGGGTTGACATTCGGCCTCTTAAGAATTAATTTAATAATAAAATATAGATGTTAATGATTCTGTCTATATGTACAGGCTTTGTTTGGAAACACGGTAAGCAAAATATTAACATTAATTTTCAATTCAATCTATAGCCCACAGATAAAGGATATTTGAGGCTATGCAATATTGATATATTGGCCAAACATGTTAGTTAAGATTAAATTAAATAGAAATGAATTAAAGAACTATGACGGAGATATGCACCGAGTAGGAAAAGGATCCTGTTTCTACATGATCTCAAGCATATAATGCAGTCAACTAATATTGGCCTACATGTAATTCCAACTGTTAACAGTGTTGCTTAAGCAGAGTATTTAAGTAAGTAAATGATACCAGGATGACATAACACCACAAATTACTTTAGTTCTCAGCGTTTTAGGCAGTTTATTTGAAAAACACATACAAAAAGATCATATACAAGACAATAAATAAAAAAGAGACAGAACAGTTTGGGTTAAGCTATGCAACTTTTTGCATCATCATTAGTAATAAATACAGTACAAAATCCACCCAGAGTGAATCTAAAGATTTTCCACAATATTCACTGATCATGTTATTCTTCATTATGATTTAGCTATTGCTTTCATATTATTGATACATACTTCTACTTTTCTATAAAATACTCAAGATCATAAAACATTGCGCGGTTACAGCAAAACAGCAGTGTGTTGTACAAAGATGGCCACTTCCCTTTTTCACTGGCAGGTTAATAATCAACATTTTTTCAGCAGCAAAGAAACATCTGAAATATTCAAGAAGGTACAGCATCATATTAAACACATCTACAGAGCTACTCCCACATACACATAGGAAAACCTGAGAAGGACATGCATTAAAAAGCTTGTGCTTTAAGTTCTACTGTTCATTCCGGTTCATCAGCTTGAGTTAATACTATGGCTACTGTCCAGTTCACTCTGGAGTAATGCGGTACACTGTGGAGGACATGGGGTAAGGCCAGTGAGAGCACGAAATGAAATAATAGTAAGACCAGCCAGCGTCATTCCAATCCAATACATGTTATAATAATTTGCAGGATTAGTAGAGTATTAATAAGAAATGCACACCAAAAACGTAGTTAGCTTATTATACCCAGGTGTAAAACACACTATCTATATTGTATAACCACAGTACACCAGAAATTTGCTCAATAAGACCAATGGCTCAAGTTAGCATGTTAGATACTTCCCAAATTCCCACACAAAGCAATTGCCAGCAATACATAAGGACAAATAATACAGCTCATTATGTGGGTCCTAAAACAACAAGCACTGAATTGAGATCCAGATATGATGGAATTTCATGAAAATGGTCAAAACAAAAGGATTATCACAAATTAACCCAAATATGACTGATTATGGGAAGTAAAGCAGTATCATCAAAAGCAAGCAAATTGCGGAGCCATTCTAAGAAAAAAAGGGGGTTGTACCCCGTCATCTGCTTTAGATCAAAGCAGGGATCGTGTTTTAAAAAACCAAAAAAGTCAAATCAAGGGGTGATATGAATGGAATGTGATCCAGATCAACAGCACCATGCTGGCTAGAAAATGTGTTGGGAACCTCCCACCCAGGAAATTTTTCTTTCAACAGGTTTCTTTTTTTCTCCTTTGAAAAAGAAAACACAGACGGCATGCAAAAGCATCCCCACCGACCAATGCATAATGAGGTATTCTTTTTTTTATATTTTGTGTTATTTTAAATAAATATATTGATTAAATTGCAAAGTTATGAGATAGAGACATTAAATATTCCACCACGATAGCTAGCTAGCTACAGTTAGTAATAAATAATGATTGTTAAATACTTAAGGCATCTTTAATCACAGCATTCTATGTGAACTAGCAAACCTCCATTTTCATCCATCTGTAGTTTTTTGGATGGAGGTTTCAGACAAAAAGAAAAAAAAAGCAACACAAAACAATTAAGTTACCCTCCAATAATACACAAGGAAGCATGAAAATACTTTTAACTGAACAGAAACACAAAATCTAGGACAAGAAGAACCCACACCACCAAACCAAAAATCAGGCAACTCCATATTATAGTGCATTTACAAAAACACAAGCTACATTATAACAACAATAAATATGTTTTTGCAGCATTGGAGCTTTTTCTTCACTATGGTTAAAATGGACAAGGACTCGGCATATTAGTACCATGTCCAGATTGGCATGTGAGCAAAAACAAAGTTGTTTTTTTTTTTTTACAAATACTAAAGGAAAAGAAAACAAATGGCAGGAAAAAAAGACAATTGAAATAAAATTAAGAACAATTGTTTGGTATTTTTCAAATGGATGGCTTTTTCTCCCTTTCACCCTCCTTCAAGTGAACTACGCCGACATGGTTCATGCATGATATAGAGAAAACGGCTTCTATCACTGAACGTATCACAGTTGTTCTAGCAATACCATACACTACTACCATGGGGGAGGCGGGGGTGGGGGACAATCATTCACATTCTAGCACATTTCACAGGCAAACTAGTTTTATTTTCCCTGTAACACCAGACAGTCTTTTTTATTTAAGTAGGAGCAACTTAGATTGAAATGAAAAGGAGCCGATACACAACAGAGGCGATTCACTGTATATAGAAATCACATGTGCTTGTTCCGATAGGCAATAAGGTTCTGGTAATAGGTAATACAAATATCCCGCACCGCATCCTCAAGCCCATGCCGGCCTCTCATGTCATGATCATGCCATGAGTGAGGCAATAGAGCGAAGTTGCAGTTAGACACGGATCTACTAGCAGCTCTTTGAATCCTAACCTCGAACATCAGGACAGAAACGCTACATTGGTCTGAGATCAGTGTCTAAGGTCAACTTTCGTCTACTCAGGATGAGTGGGGGTTGGGGGATGAGTGGGGGTTGTGGGGTGGGGTGGGTATATTAGGTGCATTCTCGTCCTCCTCTATGAATGAGTGAGATCGTCATAGTATACGGTTCACATGCACAGACACAGTCCCTGTTTCTACTGCTCCACAATATTAACGACACAGCCCAAGCCTGCCATACAGCATGCATATCTCAGGCCTCTGCTCTAGATTATAGAGGCCCGACTACGACACTACACAGATCACTGGAAGCCATGCCTGCAGTTAGCGGGTTTAGCATCAACTCTGATGGCATCTACCAACTGTAAATCCAAAAACCATGTTAGACAAGAAAGAGGGATTTTTGGCCTTTTTACACAACTAGCTCTTTCCTCATTGTCTATGATTTAACACACTGAATATTCTCCTTGTTAGAGGTGTAGTCACCCTCTCTGTAGGTTTTATTTTTCACACACATTTCTCAAAAGGTTTTTGCTTGCTACACAACACTGTTACTCTGTAAATACTTTTTCAGTACTATACTCCATTACACCACAAGCGTTCAGCTACAAGAGTTCACACCAAACAACCTCATGCTAATCATTTGATAATGTTCTGTACAGATGTGCTGAGGGCTTGGGCAGAGTGCAGCTTAAAGGATTTTTCATAGGCCTGGGGGAGAGGGTTTAGATGTAGTGGCAGAGACATGGCCTTAGTACACCACACTGAGCTGAGGGTACATACACAATCTGACAGAATCGTGTGAAGCCTCAGCACATCTGTCCATACGTGTACGCGCCTACCCTTTACATCCAGCAAGTCCATTCAACCAACCTTCAGTCCAGCCACCTATCTATGCATCAACCCCCATCCCTCGTTGTGTTGTAGGTGAGTGTGCTTTGTTGATCCCTCTGTCACAGCTGTCTCAGAAGGCAGGCTCGTTGAGTGATGCAGAGGGGAAGAGGGGTGTTTGGCAGAGCTTCCCCAGGAGGGAGGCAATGGAGAATTAACACAGACCAGATCCAAAGCTGCAGGAGTCGACAGGAGCTATCAACTGTCGGGGGTCAGTTGGGTCTCAATGTCCACTCTGCAGATGGGGCACTTCCTGCTGGTGGCCAGCCACTGGTCCACACACGCCTGATGGAAGAGGTGCATGCAGGGTAATCTCCTACAGACACAGAAGAGACAAGGTCAGGATTTTGAAATAAATGTAGGACTTAACTAGAAGAAAAGGTTCAGCAACATTTATTTGCCGTCCTTTAAAAAAAATGTGCGTCTCTAAAATGTCAACTTCTCATGAGAGAAAAACAGCCGTTTGCAGTTCTGTGAGAAGGCATACTGCAGATAAGCTCAGGTTTATTGAGTTTACAAAGTAGGAGATGCAATGATTTTTTTAATTTGCGCATG